TGGAGCVYACCACCAWGCAWAGTWSTGAGAAGTGGGAAGCTCCCACTTTCAATCATTTCCTAAAAAAAGGAAATTGTGTTATTAATTAATGTTAACTACTAAACTAATTAATTAATTCCAGCTATTGATTACTAATAATAATTACAGTTAACTACTTCTAATTAATTAATTACAACTATTAATTACTAATAATAATTATTATTAATTACTAATTAATTACTGCTAGCTACTTCTAATTAATTAATTATAGCTATTAATTACTAATAATAATTAATTACTGAAAATTATTTCTTACAAAAATTGATGCTAATACTTAATTACTGATAATTATTTCTTACAAAAATTACTGCTAATACTTAATTACTGATAATTTATTACTCATAATATTGCTCATTAGTAATTCAAAATGATGATTAATTAATGATAATTAATAAATATTTTGATAATGGTAATTAATAATTCGGAAATAATCATTTTATATTTATATTAACTCATATTAATTATTTTGAAAATAAATATTTAATGTTAATTATTTGTATTATAATTATTATCAGAAATTATAATTCATACATTTATATGAAATAATTAGTTATATTATTATATGTAATTATAATTAATTATATTATATTAGTTGATATAATTATATTATTATTATTATCGATAATTATAATTAATTATTACTAATACTAAAGACGATAATTATTACTTCGGAATGTTAGTTAATTAATGATAATTAATAAGTATTTTAATAATGTTAATTATTAATTGGGATATAATCATTTTATATTAATATTAATTCATATTAATTATTTTATAAATATATAATTAGTGTTACTTATTTACATTATTATTATTATAAGTAATTATAATTAATACTATTATTATAATTAACTATATTATTATTCTCCAATAAATACTTCATTTAGTAAAAGTTAAATTATAAAACTTTCTATTAGTCAATATTGTTAAACTTAAAGAATTATAAAAGCAAATATCATTTTATGAAATAACTAAAAATTGTATTTATAACAAATTAATTACTTAATAAAAATAAAAATAAAAATAAAATACTAATAATTGTAGTAATAATAATAATACTTTAATATTACTGATTTCATAATTATTAATATATTAATAATACTGATTATTATTAAAAAAATGTTAATAGCAAAATTTAATTACTTAAAATAATTTTCTGAAATTACCCATTTTAATTCGGATAGATAATTAATTAATAATTTTAACTTATTAAAATTATTATTTACTAAATAATTTTAAATACTCTTTGATTAACGACCTTATTTTTGAATAATTGGCTTTTTATGTTCAATAATTTTTTTTTTTTTTGCAAAAATCCAAACAGTTTTTCATTTGCAATGCTAACCATTTTATTTTTCTCTTATTCAGTTTTTCAAAAGATAAAAAAAAATAAATTAAAGATATTTACCTAATTTTATCAAATTATGTACTTATCAAGTTGTCATTGATTATGACAATGATGATGAGTCAACTTTTTGAAAGAGAGGAGTACTAATAATAATTAATGACTTCTAATTAATTAATTTCAGCTATTAATTACTAATAATAATAACTCGCTGATAATAGTTAATTACTGATAATAATTTTTTATAATAATTACTACTAATACTTAATTACTAATATTAAATAATTACTGATAATATTTCTCATTATTAATTCGGAATGATAATTAATAATGATTTTCATAATGGTAATTAAAAATTCGAAAATAATCATTTTATATTTATATTAACTCGTATGAATTATTTTGAAAATAAATATTTATTGTTAATTATTTATATTAGAATTATTATTAGAAATTATAATTCATATATTTATATGAAATAATTAATTATATTATTATTATCAATAATTAAAATTAATACTTGTATTAATTAAT